CTAGCTGAATAGAAATGGTGCTGCCACTTCTGGCCAGTTGGTTTTAATCTTTGGGTGTACCAGGAATCAAAGGGAGGTGATATTGCAGCCCCCCTTGGATCTGCCCCCGGGCATGAGACTTTCCAGGAATGGGAGGAGATGGAGCAAGAGCAGGGTGGAGAAGGAGGGAATATGTCCTGGGTGGACCCATTCAAGCAAAGGAATAATTAAATGCAACCCTGAGGGCTTCTCTAGGCTGTGCCAGGAGCTGGACTGGCCTGCACAGCATCTAATTGGTATAGGAGCAGCTGTCTTTCTTCATTGCTGGTTGTAGATGCCCATGTATCTCTTTGATCAGGCATCTACTTTTTCCTGCATGGTCTCTTACTCCCCTACCTTCCATGCCAACAGCTTGGCCTGCTGGCTAGGATCTCACCATGCCTGATGTTCTCACCTGCCATGTCTTTGATGTTTCTGATTATGAAAAAATGGGGGAAAGTTCTTGTATCTCCACACATCAACACTTAGCCAATCAGGCGATGTTTCTTGGGGCTCTGCCTACTGTATACCCTGCCTGGCACCAACCTGGTGCTACTGTCACAGTCAGGTAAGTAAGATCCCATGAATCTCCTGAATCAACTAATCTCGATCCTTTTCAATACCAAAGTTGGGGTGAGCAGGAACTCGCCCCTCGATGCCACCCTCACTCACGGTTTGACACTGTCTCCATCTGTCTTTTACTGCAGGGCCTCTGTTGCTGGAGAACTAGTTGTTGTCCTGTGCTTCCCACAAGTCTCCTGCAGGTGAGTCAATAGGCTCCTCTGAGCCTTTAAGCATGGGACCTAAACTGGGTTCCCACCATTCACCCCTCCCAGGGCAACGTGAGTGTGGATGCTGTTTTACGCTGCTCCTGCTGCTCACTTCTGGTCCCATCTCTTCTGCGTCCTAGGTGGCCTTTAGCTTGCCATCTGGGTTCCATCCAGCCAAATGGAACCGGCCTGCATTTGCAAAGCATTTTGGAGTCAGGGTCAGGGTTTCTCTTCTTGGCATCGACGTCACATGTGCCAGCTCCTCTCTCTGCTCTGTTTCTCTCGGCACTTCTGGTAAGTTGTGTTTGCTGGCAGCTGGCTTCTCACTGCCACACTGGTGTTGGCCCTCTAAGTCTTTGCTTTTCCTATTCTCATTAGTAGTGGTGACCTACAGAAGAAATTCACTATTCCCAGCATATGACCTGGTTAGAATTTCCTAGCTGGCTGACAAGACCAAAAAGGGTCCATTCTTACAAGGACAAAAGGAATAACATCGTCAGTGTGAATCTCAGTCACAACTTCAGCTTCATGTCTTTCAATCACATATGATGGGGCAGGTCCTTTTTCTTTCTGCTGTGTATAGAAGATGGATATAGTACAAATGGTGCTGTTGTGCTGTGCAGGGGACAGGAAATGGCCACACATCTGTGTAATTCCTTAGAGCTTTTACGGAGCAGAATAGGTATAGGGCCAGTGGATTTGCTGCTAGATATACTTAACGGTCCTTGCTTGGTATACGTCTCATGCAGGAAGTCAGGATTCACATGGTTGTGGCAGCAGCTGGAGAATAACTCTGCTGAAGCCTGGGACTATAAAATTCCTTTTTTACTGCCAGATTCACTGCCCAAGTTGGAAAGCCTTTTGGAAAATGCTGAACTTTGGAAATGTTGCATCTGAGAACCCAGATTCAATCTTATTAGATGTTGTATTTAAGGAATAATGCAGCTGAAACCTACCTTTTCTATGAAGTGTGTCTCTACCCTGCTTTCCACCTGACTTTACCCGGCTTTCCGCCTGACTCCTCAGCCTCCTCTTTGCAGTGATATCAACTTGAAAAACTTGAAATCGTTCGATTGATGGTATGCTGTGATCCCTCCATACTGACTAGTATTATCTCATTGGTTTCTCATGTTCCCTGGGACAGTGACTGTTTTTTTGCTCCTTATTTGTCTACCATCTCACATAACAGGACCCTGGTCCAAGACTGTTGTATCTAGGTGTAAAAGTTGTAGTAGTAGTGTGGCAAAGCCAACACCACTGTTATAATTAAAATAATTGTTAGATAATTCTTATTTTCTTCTGAAATAGTATAATTCATGCAAGTTATGAACCTATAATTGTAATAAAAAAGGTACACAGTTCCAACAAACACACAAGGCTGTTTAAGATGTTATTGGCAGTTAGAAGGTTAACAGTAGATATGCAAGAATACACGAAGTACAGTAATAAAAAAAATCACCATGACCACTGCGGCCAGAAGGTAGCAGCTGTGGAGATTTACTCTCCAAGCAAGCGTGAATAAGTAATACAATGCTTCACTTATCAAAGGTTAAGATAAAGAGTAGGGCTCACTTGGTTATTACCAGCCCAGGTAGATAGTGAAATATTCCCTGGAGAGGCTATATGCCTCTCCCCCAGCTTAAAGTTGCTGTGTTCACTCTTTGTTTCACATAAAAACGTGATGGGAATTCCCCTGCAAAAACTGCTGGGCTAAGCCTATCACATATTACTCAAGAGGATGGCAGGTCACAGGCAGAGGGAGTAAAATAAACCATAAGCCATCTGGTAGCTTTCATCTGTCCTTTCTCCATATATGGTTTTTATGAGAGAATTAATCTCTCTCCTATGGCAAATGTCTAATGAGCTTTAGCTTATTAGAAGGTGGACTTTAATTTTCAGCATTGTATTATCTGGTAGGAACTACAGTGGGCAAAATTAATGAGGGAATATACTGCTGTCTGCTACTTCCTCCCACTCCCATCTGCCTACTAAAATCATAGGAAATTCTATTCAAAATGTAGAATAGAATAGAAAGGGAAGGTCCAACAGTATCCCACTTCTACCATTTGTCCCATCTATCTATCTATCTATCTATCTATCTATCTACTCATACTTAAAGGTTATAAAGACTAGATCCTCTAGCTGAGTTATGGCCCTGTTAAGCTACCCAAGTAACATTACAAAGGCTGTTATCTGCACCCAGGCCCAGCAGAAAACTGCTGCTGGTGTATTTATGGCAGGTCTAGATCCTGCACATTTGTTCATATCTTTCTTTGCGTGGAATGTAACAGGGCTGTCCTATGATCTTGCACTGGTGGAGGTCCATGAAGAGCCTTACATCAGTGGGACAACTTAGAATTGTCTAAGTAGAAGCTGTAAGTAACATCACTATTCCAATGGCCTGCTGGACTGAACGGTGCTATGACATGAGAGAACCCGGTCCTATTACTATAAAAATAATTAGATGCCCAAACATTCAACAGTTCAGTTTAAAATGGGTATAGCACTGCAAATGATAAATGCTATCTTTCAATACTAGCTCTTTGTCTTAATGAATCCATGAACGTTATAGCCAGATGTCTGTCGTGATAGTACATCTCAAGAAACATCGCCCTAGTAAATCCACATCAGCTGATAAAATACAACTTTACCAGTTGGATGCATCTGATGGCGCGTCGTTATAAAATACAAAATATAACCAGCCATAATGGGAGTGCTTCCTATTTTTCATGTAAATGTTACCTCAAATGTTCAGTCCTCTGTGTGCAATGGATTTGACTGGTGAAAGTGTAGCAGTTATAGTGTACATAGCACACGTAAACATGAGAAAGTGGAAAATGTTTTTTGAGGAGGAATCTGAATGTGACAGTTCCTTGGCGCTCAGCCTGATTGCTTGAGCTGTTTGGACTGTATAGCTTAAGAAGTGATTTAAATCATTTGTGGATGAGATTACACATCCATTCACTGTGCTTAGCATGTAAAATATTTCTTCCATCTAGGATGTAATTGGAAGAAAAGCTTTAAAACCATCATCAATCAAATCTGATCGTTATTGATAACATCTCCTGTTGTTAAGGGTTATACAGTTCTTCCATCATAGTAGTGGGAAACTGTGTGCAGCTAAACTTATTTTAATTAAAAACTCTAGTTACACAATTGCACATGTAAGTAAAAAAACAAGATAAAAAATAAGACACAGACAGCACTTTCCATCAAAAGCAAAAGGTTGTTTATTTTCAGTGCACAAATCACTGCAATTTTCTACCCTAATTAGTAGGGTTTCAGCATAACTAATTCATGGTAAGTAGCACTTATTCTGCAAGTAAAAATTGAGATTAGTTGTATGACTAAACCCTATTCCATATGAGTAAGAGTTGTAGAATCAGGCCCTAATAAGCACACAAAGGAGTGTCTGTCTATACAATGTCATCCTTTTCCTCAATATATTTACTCCATAGTTTATGTTAACTTTAACCCCGCCCCCTTAGGCATGCCTGGATTCTATCATTCCCTTAACCTACGTGTTTCAAGGTTATGTACTTGTAAGGGGGAGAGACAAAGAGACTGGCAAGCCTTTACCATACTATTTCCCAGGTCATAATACACTAGTAAATATAAGAGTAACAATGAGCAGAGTTCAAGTTATAACACACACTGTGTGCATTACTGTAGTTGTGATACTGTTGAGATGTATGGTTTGACTACAGAGCATAAACTATAAGATGGCTTATGTTTTCATTTCTTAACTGTTGTGATTTTTATGTCAGTCATGTTGGGTATGGAGTAACCCTAACAGCTTCACAGTGAAGGGCTTTTTCTGTGTTGTACTAAATACTAAATAACTCGCTTCTAGTCTGAATCATAATCAACTTGATTTTAAAGATAAATCTTTAGTTTATTAAGTGATAGCATGGCCTTATAGCATATTGAGCATGGTGTATCAACCACCTGGCTCAGCCATTCCTTTCTGGAGCTTGCCAAAAGGCTATTTAAAGAAAAGCAATAAAAAGACCCCAATAAAAGCTTATGCAAAATGTGATAAGGAAACGACCGTAAGAATTTTTTAGGTACTATAATTATTCTCTAGCACAACTCATCTGCTGAAACACTGCCTTTGTCACAAGTATTTGTGCCAAACATTCCTTTTTCTTGCTGATTAATGAGCCCAACAAGCATTTATATTTTTCATAGTATTTTATTGAAAAGGTACATTTAAAAAAATACACAGACATTTGACTATTTACGGATTGCAGATAAAGATGTTCTAAAAGAATTACTTTTATTTTGTTCCTTTATTACCTTGTCGCCCCCAATATCACACAGAGATCTCATCTGAGTACTGCATATTGATATTACCTTTATAAAAGGATGGAAGGGGCAGGAGGAGAGACAGGAAAGAACCGCAATATATTTAGTAAACAGAAAATAAAAGTTGGTCAATTATAAATATTTTGTTCTGTACATTATTGCATCAGGGAGCCACACCATTATGCAGCATTGTTACAAAGGAAACAAGTTTAAAAGTGAAGAAATAAGATATTTATATATAAATACAGAGACCCATTATCTTCTTCAACAATGCACATGAGTGGTGGTAATGTGCAATGGAAAGGCTTGTTTTCCCTTTAATTTTAAACATTGTTTAGCAACACAAGTGAAGAATTGACAAAATAAGTTAAATGAAAATATCAAACAAGTAATAATCTTAACTATATGTTTTATGGCTTTCTATTTTTAATCTTTCTAAATAAAATATAAAACAAAAGAAATACATTAATTTAAAAAAAGCTTCAAAGCTGCATTGCTTTCAAATATTTGCACAGCAACTAAAAATGTGTAGATCAGACAGGTGATACATCTCTAGTACTACACAAGATACACTGGTACTGGGGTCTAAAACAGTACACAATCCCTGTCAACAAGAGCACACTGAAAAGAAAAAGACGCATTTCAGTATTAAGATGTTACCCACAATTAAGCACTTGGTTAATCTACCTTTTTCACACTAAAATATACCCAGTTGGATTCCAGAGATCTATGTACATAAGTGTGAGCGAGGAAGACCCTAGTGTTCAAGTCAACCAGGAAAATGTTTTCTGTTCCTTGTTTTCAAGGTGCATTGTATACACATTAAAAATATAACCAACAATCAGATACATGAATCTTTGATGAGATCTTTTGATGAGCAAGTAAGCTTTCAGTAAACCATTCCTAGACAAAGTATTTGAATTTTAAGAAGAGAGATGCTGTCTAGGCATCTAGAATGCAGTACCCATCCATGATCAATTCTGTGACATAGTCAGTTGGGGTTTCACACTGCAGGCATTTCAAAAGAGAAGGACATTTTACAATATTGAATGCTTGCTTGCTTTCCTTTTCCACCTCGTACTGGCCATTGTCATCTTACTATCTCTACAAAACTAGTATGGTGCAAAAAGGATGGATGCTGGAGTTGCACGGATGGGACCATGGCCTGGCCTTAAGAGAGCTGGCGGTATTGCAGGTGCCTGAAACAAAGAGGCAGAAGGACGGGGAGGGAGAGACAGAGCAGATGATACAGCTGCGGCCGCAGCAAGAGGAGATGAAAGAAAAGCAGGTGCCAGGGGCTTGATCATGTCTTTCTGGAATGCAAGTTTTGCCTGAAAAACAAACAAACAAACAAAAAAAGAAATGTGAATTCAGTTCTATTCCCTGCTTCCATTTTTATGGGTATGAAGGTTAACTCTTACAAAGAATATATCAAATGCTTATGAAATCTGGTCTTTGAAAGTCTTTTGGAAATATTTACCCATGTTACCTTTTCAGCCCCAAAGACAATTTAAATGATATAGCCATGTGTTTACATATACAGCAAGCTGTAGAGAAATGATTCTCCACAAGGGTGCTGCCAGATCCTCTGAAGGGGAGGAGGTAGGTAAGGTGTGAAGAGATGAACATGGGAGGGCAGGCTCAAGCTTGTCCCTGTTTGGTCAACCCCCGACCTCCACTGATCAGCCCCCTGCAAGGAAGCAAGCACTGTCAGATATAAATTAGTTTTTGAAATTGGGTGCCACTCAATTCACAAAAATTATGGAAGGGGGCCTCGAGTCTGTGAAGGGTGCCTCAAGTCAAAAAAGTTTGAAAGCCACTGCTATAGAGTGAGGGCAGGCAGAGAACAGAGGCGAGTACGGAAAATTTACCAGAATGAAATACATAAAACTTATAGAGGTTACCACTACATCAACTCAAGATCAGAAAAGTGAGTCAAGTTCATGACTTCAGCACAATACTAGAAAACAAAAATGTGTATTTTTAAATCACTTGTCACTTGCTAAACTAAGTTTCCAAAGGCGTAGAAATCAGAGATGGGAAACAGCTATTAGCACATCAAGTTCTTTTCCTGCTAACAAAGACTTGTTGTTTTCAGTATACTTTGTAGTCTCTAATAAGAATTAAAAAAAGTCATTTTGATGAATGATGGCTCACTGAGGTCCACAACATATCTGATCTGATACCCATGAAATAGATACAATATAAGTCCACTAAAGATGCTGTGTTTCAAGGTTATATACTTGTAAGGGGGAGAGACAGAGAGACTTATGTCTTGCCTTTATTTCTGTAGGTCTCTTATTACCCAGGAGATAACAACATGATATATTACAGAAGTGAACAAGATTAGTGTGACCAGAAGCTATTGAGTGAGTAGAGTTAGAGAATGCCTGAAGCATCTTCATTCAACGCAGTATGACTACACTGAACCACTAATATTTCAACTTTTAAAGAATTCTCCTATGTTTACTTTTCCCATGTTTACTTTTCTATTTGTATTTCTTTATATGCAAATAGTAATGTACCTTTGTATCACGAGATGTCCATACTCCTCTCTAATGAGTCTTTACAGGATTGACTTAACTAGTGATTAAATAGGCAAACAATTTTTCCTTAGCGATAGGCAGCCCTTCGTTAAAGGGACCAGTTAGTAAGGAGCCCCAAAAAAGTGTGAAACTGCTCAGAACTGTGGAATTGGGGCCAAAAGACAGAAAGTGGTGCTCAGATGCCCAGGAATAACATGGGCTAATGATCTAATTCGGCAATTAACACTTCTAAAATGTACACAGCTCCAGCATTACACACCAGGCAACACCCACACTTCTTTGTTGTTTGCAAGAATGAAAATTAACGTGTTCTCGGCATTACACCTTGTGCCCTTCTTCCTAGCTGCATCCATCATTGTTGCATGTTTTCGTAACTGTCCAGATAGCCAGTGTGTATATTTTTATGTCTATAAAGAGAGGAAGTGAACTTAAACTGAGTTCATAACCTTCATCTAGACTCCCAATCCATTCCACATCACACTGTTCACTCTCTCTCTGTAGCAGTAAATAACACTGCCAAGTGCTATTTTGCCTTTGAGTGGGCTGACAGAATACATAAATATCTTAAATTCTGATGCTAATACAGATTCTGCCTGTGGGGGAAGAACTCAGAAGGCTTCCTTCTCTGTTAAAGTGTCAACTCAGTCATCCTCATGGTCTCTCTGTAGTGGCAGTCCCAAGGTCACAAACCCACATATATAACAGGGCAAAGTGAAAGTACTTACTGCTAAAATGCTTGGGCTGCGTTGAAGTTTGTTATAAGGGCTATATTTAGGTTTCATAGGCTTTCCTGCCACTCTGTCCTTGTGCCTTCTGCTGGAAATGTGCTGAAATCAAAATCAACACACGTAGTTGTTTAAAGATCTCATAGCTTTATGCTTGGAGTTGATTTACTGACTGCATGTACCTAGTCCCTTGTCCTCAAGGCACTACAAAACTAGTGAGACTCAGGATATAGCAGTGACCCCAAAGTGGGATGCAAAGCTTGTATCCTATTTCTTGCTAAGTAAAGCAGAACAGTTTTGAGTATATCATATAAAGAATCAAAATTTAATCAAATATAAAAGATACTATTGTTATATAGAGCTGATAATTCGGTTCAGC